ACCACTGCAAATGGGAGGGGGGGGGGGGGGGGGGGGGGGGGGGGATGCTCAGCAAGGCTGCTTTTGTATGCAGGGACAAAGGGCACATACTCAAGCTAAGGTGGCAACTTAAGTGCTTACAGTGGATCACTAGAAATGTTACCTTAGTCTTCTCAAACTTGAAAGTGGCACCACAGTGTGCTCATAGATTTCAGCAGATAGATGGATCTCAGCTTCCTCATCCTGCTTGTGTACAACCTGGCAGAGGCACAGCTTCTTCCTTGGCAAATTCTCGTTTTCAGGTCACTGACTCCTCCCTGCCTCATTGTGCTCTGCATTCACCTTATCTTAACCACTCCTGTACTCTGCTTGAGTCTGTTTTCTCCTTGGTTCTCATTATGCTTTGCCATTTTTCCTGTCATCTTTATTGCCGTCTTCCATACTGCTCTTCCTTCAGTTCTTCCAACCAGCTCCAGTTAATTAAGCATCTTATTAACGATCATTGTATTTTTAAAAATGAAGATGTTTTCTTTGGCCCATTTTAGTCTGCAGCAAAATACCATTGTCATCATCAGAGTCAAGTTTTCACCCTAAATCATACACATGCACCTTCAAACACTGCCTGAAATTTTCAAATTTTGTATAGGACACAACAAAATGGCATAAGCTGATATGATTCGTACTGTTATTTCCATGCCCTCTTATTATGTGCCTTGTTATTTCTGTTGCTCCAAGTAGCCTTACCCACACACTGGGATCCCCCTGTGTTGGAGACTGCTCAGACAGCTACAGAAAACTCAGACTCTGTGCATCTGTGCTTGTAGTAAAATTTCAGTCAAAAACCAGCAGATGAATGGGAAGGGAACAAGATGACAGAGTTCAGCAGAAAGCTGGAAGTCTCCAGAATTCTTCCAAGAGAGCAGATAAAATGTCTTGTCCTATAGTTAATAATCCCTTTGACTTTGCAAGGGTGAGGACCCTTAAGATGAATACTAGAAATAGCAGGCTTGAATACAGAATGTCATGGGGTAAAATACACGGCACCTAAAATTTCTGTTTTAATATTAAATGTTAATGAAGATGTAGAATACAGTGAACTGCTCTTAATTAAAATGCATTACATCAATACTGTCAGTTCATATTGTTTATGAAATGAATTGGAATAAAATATGGATGGATTTACTCTTTTCCTCTACAAATCAAAATTCTTCTGTGTTAGATTTTCCTAGATATGTTCTCATTTCCTAAAGAACTAAAAAACTATGCATATAACTAGCATGAATAGTGCTAGTTCAGAAAACTGATCATTCTTTTTTCATTTATTTTATGTAGGTTTCCTTTGCCTGATCTGTAAACATGTCCACAGACCTGCTATGTAAGTACTTTTCTGTCATCCCACAGTGATTTTTTTGTACCATATGTTTTTATCAGATTCCCAGATGTGCTCATGATTTATGTCTTTTATCTTAAGTATAAAGTCTGCTTTTACATTTGCGTTTCTTCTGAGACATCTGTGGAACAATATTGCCATTATAATCAACGGGATTATTCTTGGAGTAAAGCATGACTTAATATGAGTAAAATTGTAAAAATCTGGCCCATGTATAAGAACAGACTGGTTCATTGAGACTTAAAATTACAGTTCTATCTAAAATGTTTTATCTATCTTTGGCACAAATACCATCCTAGATTAGTACTGAGTGATGTGCTTGGGATTTTTTAATCACTGTGTGAATTTAACTCCTTCCAAGGCATCATTAGTCCAATCACATCCAAATGTCATGCCCTATCACTTACCCATCCTTCTTTTTCAACAGCAAAGAATATACAAGTGGCATATCCTTATACTTTGTTATCGTAACTACCACAAAAAACTACTGCTCAGGTCTCCCTGCTACTTGCACTCTCACACTCCAGCCTAAGCTATCTGCAGCATTAAGCACATTTTCTATGCTTATTGATCTGATCTACATGCTTGCTTTTGGAGTCCCTCCAGTGCCTCAGCTGCCATTTTTTATCATTGCCTCCAAGGGCTGCCCAGCTGCACACTGTGCAGTATAAGAGAGAGGAATTTCAGAAACCCATTTTATCAGTCTCCAATACTTCCTCAGAGGAACAAAGAAAACAGATTTTTTTTTTTGTCATTAACTGTAATCAGTTAATAAATACATCAGCTTACTGGCAGATAGCAGCTATCTGTGGAGGTGATATCTGTGCTTCAAGATCAAGTTAATTGTGAAAGTGCATTTTTTGAGCTTTATCTGGTAACGCGATTTTGGGGCATGCTTAAATGCCATTTAGATACAGGGAGAACTCTGAAATGAGGAATATACTGTGCCTGACTGTACAAGCAAAACTGCTGTTAGGAGTGAAATGTTAAAGAAAGGAGAGAGGCAGGGTGATTGCACAGTGGTCCTGGTCCAAATCAATTAAGACTCCTCAACTCTACTCAGATGTTCAGTCTGGTTTGACTGTTCTAGCTATTTCATAACCTGGGAGTTTAATTTTTCTCTCTTCAGGTCAGCGTCACCACTTCTCCTGATGGTCAGTGGGTTAGAGAAGTTGTTGCCTGAGTAAAGGTAGAAGGAGTTGGGTGTGTTCAGCCTGGAGAAGAGAAGGCTTAAGAGGATCTACTGATGGTCTTCCAGTACAAAAATGGTGGCTATGGAGAAGGAGATGGAAGCACTCTTTCCCCAGGCATGCACTGTGACAGGACAAGAGACAGTGGCCACAAGTTACTTCAGGAGAGATGCTCCTGGATGTAAGGGGCATTGTCACTGTGGGATCAAGTAAACATTGGAACAGGCTGCCCAGGGAGGTGGTGGAATTTCCCATGCTGGAAATATTCAAGATATGGCTGGACAGGGCCCTGGGTAACGCTGATCTAAGGGCCTGCTTTCAACAAGAGGCTGGACTAGTTGATCTTCACGGGTCTCTTGCAACTTAGATAATTCTGCAGTTCTGTCCCTGGTTTTCTCAGTATCATACTGCTTGTGCTGTGGCAGGTTATGTGATACTCTGTCATGCTAGAGGGATAGAAGTTTGTTTTCTCACTCGGAGATAGCCTCAAGACAGTACCAGTGTGGAGGGGCACTTCCAGGTTCCAGCTGGTGGGGGTACACATGCATGTGAGGTTTGTGGCAGCCAGGTAAGGCTTTGGAAAAATGTTGGTACACAGGAGAACACTAAAGAATAACCTGGCAAATCTGTACAGATATGAAGTGACTCTAGGTCTTTATGTCTGTTTTTATATAAATAAATAGTACAGAGCCACCTTATGAGCTTAGTACTGGCCTATGCTAACAAGCAACACCAAGGCATGTTTTGGGGATAACATCTACCAGGCTCTGTTCCAGGTAAGGAATTTGGATGTAACCAAACTGTTTGTGGGGGAAAAGGGTAGGAGGTGATCCCAGATGGTCTCAGCACTAGGGAACAGCCTCTGGCTCTTACTGTTCAGTAGTAGGCATGTAGCCTAACCATCCAGTCCCTAAGTCTGACCACAGCATCGTCTTTCACCAATGCTTGGTTCAATGCAAGGTCACATTCCAGGAGTAAAAATCTTGTTCCAGGTCACATTAATGAAAACTAGATGTATAACTAAAAAGAAAAAAAATCTAACCAAACCAGAACAAACCCCCTTAGATTCCTAGGAAAAAAACCCACTGCAGTCTGGGGCAAATGGCACAAAGAAAATGTCATGGCTGCACAATACTAGGGCTGCTGCAGCTAGACCTCAGACTCCAGCAACAAAGTCTTCAAGCCTGTGGAAATAAAACGAAAAGCCAACATCCCAGTGAAGTTTTGGCATGATGATTTTGAGGTAGTTTCTCTGTTTTAGATGGAGAAGCTAAGGAAAAAAAAAGAGAAGTTTCTAAAATGTCTGGCAGCTACAGAGGCTCGGACAGTTGGGGAAGCAGCAGACTTCCCTTGGAGCTTGTTTTTCTTTTTATCCTCGGATGAACTAGCGTGCAGTATATTATGCTGCCTGAATGTAGGAGTTTGTCACGGTTAGCGCCGGGGGCTGTCCCGGGAATGTAGGAAGGCGATGGGTGTCAATGGAGCACGCGGTGGTCGGTGGGGCTTGAGCCCGCTCTTCAGGAAACCCGTCGCTGCTCCTCTCGGCCCGGCCGGCCAAAGCCGCACAGGAAAGGAGGTGGGTCTTTGATCTCTTTGTTGTAGCTGCTCCCTGGGAATTTACTGAAATCAATGCCCTGTTTTCCTGAAGAAATGAATGGCTATGCCTAACTAGCTTTGTGAAGCGCGGGGGAATTCACTGCTTCTGTTTATTGACAGCTGAAAAGGAGCACATGGTGCTGAATGGTCCTCCTGGGGAAACAAAACAGAGCAGAGTTAGACTTAGTTGAACACAGGGGCATTTGGAAAAGTCTGACGAAGGAGGATGGCACAGTTTCTGCCACCTCGTACTAGCATAGCCTGACTTTTTACTGAAAATGCCATTTTAAATAAGGTAAGGATTGTTTTGATTTCCCATACGTAGTGCGAATATGAAATGTTTGCGTTTGTGTTCTCGAGTGCAAAAACAATGTTTGAATTGTATTCCGTCATGGGAAACACCTAGGTGACTCTTGTGCTGTCTCTAGCCTCTGTGTATGTTCATTTGTTCTTTATCTAATGGTGATTAATCGATATGAAAAGTAGTAGGAAATAATATGGTATTTGGGTCTTGCAGTCATGTCCTGAACATCATTCATGCAGGCTGTTATATACAGTTCTTTATGTCTTTGAGAATCATCTGAATTACATCAGATGATTTCTTCACTGGTACAAATTGCTGCATTAATATTTATGCACAAGGCAGTGACTAACAAGTGGGCCTGTCTGGCAGAAAATCTGGGAATCTAACAACCCTTGAAATGTAAGAGTATTTTTCTAAACCTGTTTCTATGCGTAGACTCCAGGCAAGAGAGATCGACTTCACCACTGTGCTTGCTGGTTTTTGATGTACAGTTTTTTTGTAAAGACAGCAAAGGATAGCAAGAGGAGGATGATAATGAAGAAGCAGTATTTTCTTCATGCAAGTCCAGAACAGTTTATCAGACCAAAGGAATTTGGTGTGTAATTCATATGTAAATTTTCTACTGAAAACAGGAGAACAAATCGCTGGAGTTTCTGTATTAGTTTCTGTGGTGACTGAAGAAAAAGATTTCTGAGCTCACGTAGCTATCTACAGGTTTCAGGTGTGGCCCACTTACAACTGCAGGAAAAAAAATGAAGTAATGTAATTTCTTCCTTTGTCAGTTTAAGGGCAAGCTTCAAACAGAATATTGCCATTGTGCTGCCTTGTTATTACATGGCAGTAGGAATTGATGGGTTTGTGTTGCAAACCTGATTAAAAGTAACTGTGCTTGTGTGCAGTTGTTTGAAAACTCTGGAGTAGTCCCCTAATTTCAGGGGAAGTGCTTAGGAAGTTTCATATTTTATCAGAGTAGTTTGTGTTCCTCAGTCTGGAATATTTTCTTTGAGTGACTGAGCTTGTAATCTTAGTAGTTTTGTCTCATTTTGCTCTTCTCTGCAGCAGATAACTTACCTGTTTTTCTTGGAAGCATTGGGGCCCCATATGCAAAACATGCTTTCTTTAGAATATACTTTGTGATCCTGAAAATGAAAATACATTGCATAGCTGTAGAGTGTCAGCATTTTCGCTTGTGGCTTCTGCTTTTAAGTTTCCAAGATTTTCAGAGGGAAAAGCAAAAAAGCAAATGCATTTATGAGTTTGACAAAGATGTAGAAACACTGAGCTCAGGCAGGCTGCTACAGATGTTGGTGGGCTCTGTTGTCATTATCATTTTGCAAATGTGTCAGGACTTTTTTTGACCTAAGTGTATTTATACATGATAAGCTTTGGAAGCTGCTAAAATTTAAAGGTAAAGCTAATTTAAAGTTCTCATTTAAGTTGGAAAGGAGATACATTTGTAGGTCATTTTAATGCTGTAATCTAGATGTGTTATGAAAATCTTGACTGGTGAGGGTGTCTGGAGTTGCAATGGTGTAAATAGAAAAGAGTTATGGTTGTGGAAAGCTCCCTTGATCAGAGCTTTTTTAGTTAGTATAATGGAGAAGAAAGTAGGTGATTCATGAGTGACATGGAAGGTGGCATTTGTTCTCTGTTACTTGGGTGATAAGGCAAGGCAGAGTGTGTTAATGTACTGGGAAGGTGCTTAGCCAGATGTGCCTAAGGAAGTACATGGGGATGTTTTGGCAAAACAGTTGTCGCTTTGCCTCTTCTAACATCAAGGATCTTTATAAAATAAGAATATTGCTGTGGCCTATTGGCAATATTGAAGTGGAAGGAGTATAAAAAAATTGATTTCCAACCAGTAGAGATGTACCAAATACAAAGTGATATATGTG